ATGGTGTACCAATCATAAAAACAAAACAAAAATTAAACTTTTTGAGAAGTGACTCTGATTTTGAGGTGCCCCGAGTTATTTTGTAGAGAGGTTGACAGAAGTTGTTAAGTAAAACTAAAGGGTAAATGGCATAACAACTTCCAGTTTGGACTCTTGAGATCTGTTTAAAAGTTTCAGACAATTTGTCAACTGATGTTTAGGCTTTGCTCTCTTTCAGTGTTTAAAGGTGGGCGTCGCCATCCCCGGACTAGGGCTAAGATTCCAACTCGTAATGAATACAATCATCAAAATAAACCTGTATTCATACATTACAGCAGAGAAAAAGGGGCAATCACTGATCACAAACGAACTTCTGTCGACTCCTCAATAATAAACCCAAAGCTACCATATCGTTGAATTCACCAGAGTTCAACAGCACTGACCAAAAAACAAGGGCAATCAGGTTCGTCAGCGCATTTAGAGGAAATCTGTGCTTTAAACATGTGAAGATCATCTTCACTCCAATTTCAGTGATTTTTTTGTAGGAAAGAACAAAAACCTCCCGTGGAAAAAAACGTGAAGTCACCGAGTTAGGAAAGTATCAGAGGCCAAACTCATGGAATTGTCGAGGCTCTTGAAAGAATGTACGAATTCACCGTACTATTGCAAAAAAATCACCTTATGCCCAAGGTTTCTTGAAAAGAAAGGGTCAGCGGCAGGAAGTTGGTTGCAGACAATCCAGATACATGTACATGTAACTTGGGTTTACTGCAAACGAACCTACTTTCCACATGAACAGAAACACGTCCTGGTCTCATTCATGAGGTTGGTCTCTGATAAAGGTGGCTTACTTAGCAATAATCACGGTGGAGTTGGTGCCACTTTTCAGATGTCTTTCTTTTGTGAGTCCGCTCCCTGTAATAGAGCAAAAAGAAGTTTCAACGTTAATACTCCCCGGACGGATGACTGTGCAAACGTGATATCTGTACTATCATTTTGGGCCAAGATAACGCAAGATTCCTTGTTGATTCCTGAAAGTCAGCAGTCTCTCACACATTCAACAGCAAGAGGTCGAATCTTCCAAATTTACATCTCCACACCCAAGACTGACACTCGTATTGACTTTTTCAATTTTGGCTCGCGGGCTCTGCCATGCTGTGGAAATGTAAGAGATCAAAGATTTCTGTCCTATCCTTGGCTAGTCCGTGAAGCTTTTTCTCTTGGGTTCCGATTAGGAAACATTGAGCACACAGCACTCAAGCCAGTCAGGGAAACCTGAGGATATTCAAAGCACTCCATTATTATTCATTTATTGTTTAATTCACTGCATTTACTTGCACTGCTGGTGTGTCCTATGTCCCGGTGGAATATTGGATAAAAAAAAATTCTTCCAACAATTTGAAGAAACACTAAGAGATGGAGGTCGACATGACAACAAATTTGGTCACTTTTTCCCTTAATCACAACAAAAACTTGGGAAACACTGCTTTCTTGCAAGGCACAGTTTATGAATGTCAAAATACAAGACCCCTTTTTTTTATAGAGCAACTCTGAGGAAAACATGTTTTCTCTGATTTTTAGATTTTTATCTATTCAAATAAATTGGAAACATCTAAATGGAACACAACGTTCTTTTCAGGGCTCAACTATAACAAGCTAAAAAGGGCTTTTTCCTGTTCAGGCCAAGATGCAAATTCTGAACATGCTGAATGTAGATTGCGTCATTCTGGGAAAACAGAGAAACCTAGGGGAACCGTCGTCCTGTGTTCACAGTGGATAAACCCTTGGCCGTTGTTTGCCGTGCCCAAGAGAATCATCCACTACTAACACAAGGTGAGGGTTCCGCTTGTTTTATAAGTTTTCTCAGAATGACGCAATCTACATTCAGAATTCACGTCTTGGCATGAACAGAAAAAAGCCCTTTTTAGCTTGTTATAGTTGAGCTCTGAAGACAAATGACACTGCGTTCGATTTCTTAGCTTGTTACAGCTGAGCTCTGAAGACAAATGACACTGCGTTCGATTTCTATGCTTCCCTATTTATTTGAACGGATAAATACAGAGAAAACATGTTTTCCTCTGAGGTGCTCTTTAAAAGATTCACCGAAACATGCATGTCTCATTGCTGATTGGTCCAATGGATGTTGAAGCTCTTCTTACCTGATTGGCTGTCGTAGAGACTTTCTTTGAGCTTGGTTCGTCTGTAAAGAACATGCTTGGAATGTCGCTGCCGAAGAAAATCTTGTTATTGCTAGCAATGGCTTGGTACTTGAGGACTTCCAAGTACTCTGGGGTGAGTTTGAGCTAGAAACGAGAGAGAGAAAAAGGAAATTTTAAACATTTTAAAACAGGAATTGTAATGTTTAAGCTTAAACCTAGTCACACAATACGTATTGTTTCCATGTCCAGTGTTGAAACAAAGGCTCTGAATCCCAAGGCCAAAGCTAGGGCTACGGCTTTGAACCAGAAGTCTTAAGGTTTAGGCCAAGGCCTACCACTCAAGACCAAGGCCCTGTAGTACAGAATCTCAAGTAACATAAAACACAACACATTATGACGAATCACTCATAGTATGAAGAAAAACTTGTCTTTGAGAGCATTCGTTTAGCCATCACCTATCTTCGTACCTGCCCTGGTGTCAGCCACCACTACCCCAGCTGGCGAGCGGGTCTCTGGAGGCTGCCCGAGTGTAAAGACGTCACGGATGGACTGTTCGAGCATAGACATGATGGAATGTGGTGGGGACATGACCTTTTTACCAGAATGCCTTTGCAAATATACTGCAGTGTTCAATTACCCTCATTTTGAGGCTTCCCTTGCGTGTAACACCGGTGTATTCAGGGAAGCTAATTGAACGCACCCACTGCTTGCAATCAAAGTATTCAGTGTATAACGAGGTGTTGAAGATCAGGTCTTCATGGATGCCAGTTAGATATGACAGAAAGAATAGTTTGTATCCACGACGATGCTCAAGAGCCAGGCTAAGTCTGAGCTTCCCCAAATCACCTGCATCCCCGCGAGCGCGAGTCTTTGAATCTTTCTATTCTCCATACCTGATTGGCCTCGGCCTCGCGCTGCGATTTGTAGAACTCGGCGTCCGTCTTGGCCTTCTCCCGGGCCAGGTGCGTGGCATCCTCGATCTCCGAGATCTTCTGCATGCTTTCCTTTTCCATGATCTTCTGGTCGTAGTGGATGCGGGCCACCTGGGCCTGCTTCTCCGCCTCAATCACTGCCTTCTTGCGCTCGGTCTCTGCCTCCTTCTCGACCACCTTCTGGTGTTGTTGGGCGATGAGGAGCTTTGTCTTTTCATTCTCCCTGGGAAAAAAAAAAGAGAAAACAAAAAATATCAAAAACACTAATAACAAATTTATAACGTGCAAATATTTATCAGGACTTTCGCTCACGGTGCTGTATCAATATTACCCCAGCTCATCGAGCCCGTAATACCATCTCAGCTCCCTGGGGAGTACACAGCTTGATGCTGCCATTTCGGAACAAAGCAGCTATTGAAATCGACAACAATAACCATCTCCACCCGATCCTGCTTTGGGAGAAGCAGCGAGTGGCGAAGTGCCTTGCCCAAGGGAACATGCACCGTGACCCTGACGCCCAACCTACAGCTGTATCCGTTATCACGACTCTGATGCCCTGACCTAAGGAGGGCCACAGCATTCAACAACTTCCCCTTTTGTGCTCCCCTCAAAAGTTCTCACGCAGGGCCCAAGTTCACAGCACAGCTGGACAGCTAATTCTGTGACTTAAAGAGCCACAAGCTATTCTCGTGAAACTCTTAAACCCTAACCCCCTAGAAACCATTGAACTCCTGCATAACCTTGTTGGGTTCAGCATGGTTAGGGTACGCAGTCAACAAAGCAAAAGCAACGCTTAAGCTTGGAGAGAAGAGTTGCTTAAATCAGTGACACAGCAATGGACACCTTCATGCGTCCGTGACCATTAGCTGTTTCACGAGACAAAACAGCAACAAGATTTGTTACTTTGAGAAAGCATAACCTTTCCTGCAACCTGTGAAGCATTTATATGACACTGGGCCCCGGCACATGATAAAGTCAGGTAGCGATTGATGAATGCTTTCTACCAAGAGGTCTTGGTCCAGCTGGTCTATGCTTGACAGGCCGTATCTTCTCTTATAGTAAGTGTGTACTTACATTAACTCGTAGTTCTTCCGAATGCTTTCAGGAATTTTGGGTTTTGTGACACGAACAGCCTGCAGGAGAAACAAAACAATTACAGATGGAAATTTTTCAGCACAGATATTGAAGCGGAAAGAAAGACACGGAAAGCTCAAGTCAAAAATTCCATTCTCCCACACCCTGACTACCGTTCAACAGAAAAGAATTCACGGCGATGACACGAAACCTTCTACGAGTTCTTTCTTTTTGGAATATGCTTTGAAACCATTCAAAGTAGATCAAAACTGGAGCTTGACAATATTTATGGCTCACCTGGATGTACAGACCGGGGGCCATTTGGGTGAGATCAGCTTGCAGTGCCTTCTTGAGGTTCTCGTCAATCTGATCTGGTAAGACAAACAAATGCAAAATACTGTCATGAATAATTGATGATGGATTGAATAATTCATGTTATGAATAATTCATGAATGCAAATTCATATGTTTCGTGTTTCCAAGCCTTTCTCCATTTCAAAAGTGAAACTTCATTGATTCCTTTATCTTTTGTTTCATTTTTCTGCAGAAAAACATGGGGCCAAGACTATAATTTTGTGTGAAGCAAAAATCATTTGCATATATTGTCTTCTGCTCACGCAATATTCAAGCACTCAAACCATGAAACTAACATCGGAGACAATAACCCAAGATGTCGCTTGAATTCACCTAAACGCAAAATTCTTTCATTATCAAATCTTGCAGAAGGCCAAGAACAGCAATGGTGTGGTCAGAATTTGCAGAAACATGTTTTGAAGGTGATAAAAAGTCGCGATTCAGGATGCGGGGCTATACGCCATCTGACACTAGGTGGTATTGGTCAAGGTGACAGTAACCGACTTTCCTAACAAGAGCGTTAACGGGGGGAGGAATAACATGTGACATTTTTCTGTCCCTGTTACAAGTGACCTGTGTAATTTGACATGAAAATATCACTGAGATTGATTTCAAACTTTTTCTATTTGTTTGGTAGGTAATTCGTCACTCATGGAAATCAGAGAATGTGTTATCAACTTACAAATCGTATGTCAGATGTGACAGGGACATGAAATTATTGGGCCCCTAATTTATACAATAACCCAACATCCCGACCCTAAAGTAACCCCGTTTCGATTCAAACTGAACTGTTTACTTACCAAACAGTTCAATATAGACTTCTTGTAGGTTGTGAGCACTGCAGAATTGATTCAGCTCGTGGTGAATTTTGTTAAAAATGAGCGTTTTGTCGTAATCTGCAGTGTAGTTTTTCACCATGTTGTAAACTGAAAAGAAAAGAGGTCAAAACATCGGTCAATTTTCCAGACGTGTTTATTCCCAATGGTGAAATTCAAATAAACATCCGATGCAAAAACACAAAGCCTGTTTGGAGAATTACTGTTCGGATATAATTACCGTCGTTCGCCGACAGGATGTTGACGACCTCTATCCTGTCAAAGTAAATCATGACACCGCCACTGCAGAGAGAGGTGAAAAAAAGGGAGATCACAAAAATGACAGTTCAGCGCTTGTATGAGGGAAATAAAACGATGAACGACAACATTTAGCTTGTCTCTTTACGTCTGAAAACATACCGAAGTGAAATAAACACTCAAGATATCCAGATTGAGAATCTTAACTGCATAAAACGCAGGCAACAAACAAAGTGACCACTACAAGTGTCTAGGTTGGGGTGTATGGTCACTCAACACTGCTCACAAATAAGTTAGATTTTTGGGAGATGTGAGATCTTCGGGGTTGATCAATTCAATCGCTTACCTAGTTCCACATGGAACATTCTTCACCTCGTCTGACTGCAATGTAATCTACGCAACGTAACAAAAAAGTTCTCTGAAATCTGGTTACTTGGACACCCTGTACAAATGCTCTGTTTGGGATTTGTCTGTTAGTTTACACATAACATTCTTCCTGAAACAAATTTCCTTTTTCCGATCTGGTTAAGCTTAATAATACCCCAAGTGGAAAAAGCATCAACAAGATCAGCAAACAGAAAAAGCCCATTCGCTTTGTCAAGTGACGAGTTTTGCAGATCCCACAAAATTTAAGTTTCTCTGCCTCAAAATTCTTGGATCTAAATAAGCTAGGAACCATTAGTTGTTGCCTTGATGGTGACCTTAAACACTGCACTGCCAATCGCACGAACAAGGAAGTCTCTTTTCTCGTTACGACTTTACCTGGACTGTCCTGTAAGTTGTTAGGAAAGGAAACATGAAATGAAACCCTGGGCCTGCGGTCGATGTCAACAAGGCACCTCCCTGGAGAAAAAAAAAATCCTTTTTTGAATAATTTGAAACAGGGCGCCAGCCTAATGTTATTTCCTGCACATTAAATATGGATGGTTCACGGCAGATTATTAATTCAGTGATTAATTGGCTCAGCTCATGTTGTGGAACATTGATAGCAAAACGTCTCATTTCTGACATTAAATGCATCTTTGATACGAGGTTATCAGTAATAAAAGAAGTCTGATCGCGAGTTCTGCCAAAAAAAAAAGGACAACTTTTTTCAATGCTAGACTTTTGTCAGACAAAAAGACTGCACGTTACTTTGTGGTGAACCATACTGAGTGATGCTCATGCTCGTGACTAGTCTACAGGACAAAAAGTGACGATAAGTTCAGGTTGGCTTCATGCATGAGTTTAAAGAGGCATCTTACCCTGTAGTAAACGGCAACATGACCTGCGACAGAAAATATACAAATAAGGAATTAAAACAGACAACGTGTGCCCATTTAACTCACACAATGGGCTGGCACACGTGCATTGCCTGAAAAAGTGCAGCGTTTCTACAGTACACGATCTTTGCAAGGATTAAAATCACAAAAAGATTATAACGATTCTATCTGGCCTTGGAAAACCCAACGGGAAGGCTGGCTTGGAGCTTTGCAGGATTAAGTGAGGTAGACCCCGGTTATTATCACTTTCAAATAACACTTCTTGAATAAGAACACAGAAAATGTAACATTTCCATTTTGCAATTTCCTGTTCATGTCATCTTGGAACCATGTGCCACCCCTAACTTCAACAAGCTGACACATTGCCTTGGCACGTGATACGCAAACAACTTCAATTAGATTTATAATTTACAAACTTTACAAGCCACACAGGAAACAGGTGAAGATTTTGAAAGGTTTGAGAATGCTCCCAGCGAAAAAAGGCCAAGACCACGAGGGATTTGTCAGTTGGACAGTCGACGAGGTCTCACCTTCCTCAATTTTATGCAGGGCAAAGTTCATCATGATGGCAGCTATCGCCATGAATCCAGCCAGGAACGGAATGATGTTGGCCATGGCGTCCAGACTAGCGTGGGACTGAAGCTTTACAAAGAAGCTATAATTAAACAACAACAGTTTTTGTTGATTAGAGATTAGTGTAGCAAACGTTGGATACTTGGCCCCCTTGAAAATAACAAATACTGAAAAAGACCCACACTTCATCTCGAGGCTCGGCCTCTTGGACATGATCAATGCCAATGCAACGGCTTTGTGCGCACAATTACGCTGTGCCATCAGTCCGATTCTGTCATGCCTGTATGGAGTTGAGTCACGAGTTGATCCTTTTTCCCTGGTATCAAACAGTTCCATAGCAGTATAAGCCGTCGCGTCAGAAAGTGCTAAATGTCCGAGAAAGTCGAATTTAGCAGTGAAAATATTGAAACATTTACTCTGAGAACACAACATTTTTCACACCAACGCCATCATTTTTTTTTTATGTTCAAACGGCAACACAACAACTCGAGCCTAGCCATTTGTAACTGAACTTACACCTAGTTTAATGATTTAAAAAAATGTAAGGCCGTTGTCACGTTGTGACTTGTTTTTCTAGATATGGGCACCTGGCATGCAAATGATTAAGGTACAACTACAAAACGAAGAGAATAATTTAAATGATATCTAACTTTCCCTTTCCAAATGGAGTTGCAAAAAAAATCTTAAAGAAAAAAACTCAAGAAAACTTAGCCAGATTGTCCGCCGCACCTAAATATTGTTGTACACGTGAAATAGAGCCATACTCAAAATGCAACATAGCTAATTGATCTGTCACAATTTTGGGTCTCGGTATTTTAGATCCAAGACTTTTACTGGAAAAAATATTTTATCCCAATGGTATTAATTTTTATAAGTGAGGATATATCATGTTGTATGAATTGAGGAAGAGAAACGTAGGATTTTTATTTACGTAGTTCAACTTATAGCGGTACATTTTACTTTGAAACACTAATAAAAACAGACAGTTTGTAGCGCCATCTAGTGGGCTAAAGTAGCTATGATGAGGGCGCTCACTGAGGCTGGAAAGAAAGTAACAATCATGATCCAGTTTTAGTACTCAACTATTTGTTTTCTCTCACGATACTGGCGAGTTCAACATTAAATCAGACGACTTCATCCATTCAACAGACGCTTTTGCCTCTCCTTTGCCCATCCTCTATGTGATGAAAAAGAATTGGTATAAATAAATCATAATAATAATAATAATTTCCTCCCAAATCGATTAGTTGAAATCTTTTACTTAAGTTTCAAGATTTTTTGTTCAGAATGTAAAAAATAGAACAATCACGAAGTTTTGTGTGGGACAACTTTAGTTATGCAAAGAGATTATTTGGTTTTACTTTGCTGAACGAGATGAGTTATTCTTCCTTTGATAAGCAACTTTTTAAAAAAATGAATGAACGGGAGGAAAAATTAGATACTTTTCTCTAGACATTACTGGCTATGGGCGGAAACCTTAATTATCACGATACTGTCATGTTTGTCTCGTTCCCTGTAGACCCGTCGGCCGAAGACGGCAAGGAAACGATTCAGCACGAAGCGTTCATACCATTTTCAACCGGTATCTTATGGAGAAAAAAAATATTATTAACTAAACTCTTGAGTTGTGCAGCAAAGGCACCAATAGGGAAATGTGTAATAATGAAATTTTGGACTTACTTCACCATTTCTAAGCATTAAAATGTAACAGCTGTCACGGAGAAAGACATATATTCAATATTGTGTCCGTTTTTTTCTCTCCATGGTGTGTGTGACCCTAGGGGAAGGACCTATACAATATACCTCACTACCTTGTTTTCTTATTCTAAATCTTCGCCCTAGTCCTCGTCATGGACACTTTCTGTCTTCTGTCGTGATTTAAAAGTAAAGGTTTTTTAAAATAAAAAATGAAATGAAACGACTTCTATTTATCCATGAATACCAAAAGATTCGTTTTCTTTCCGCTCTTTAGCCAAGTCTGTTCATTAATTATCAAGTATATAAATGTAGTGGGACGCCATAAGGAGGTGCGGTCCCATTGTGAAACGGTACGAGCACCGGCACGGTACATGCACAAAGACGGAGACATATTCAGGAAGATATTTGTAGCCTTGATGTATTGGTGACCAGCAACTGTCACAGGTATCCTTACAAGCTGGATCTGTAGGTTTCCAAGTACTACAAATTTGCCATGGGACTATGCCTACACAGACGTAGAAATGGGTGCGACTGACATCAAAATATAGGCCTACCATGCTCTCCGGCTCCCTCTAAAACTGGAACTTCACGGCCAGCCGGTCCATCCAGTGAAAGTCTTCGACCGTCTCTTATACTGTCTTGTTTGTATTCATACGCAGAGTTGCTTACCGAGTAAATTACGGTACAAGTAACGTGAGGGTTCAGTTAACACGTTACCAAAATATCAGAAGGGGTTATTTTTGTACATGACAATAATTCTGATACATTCAGTCAGTTGTCTAAAATAATCTTTGGACTTATTTTCCTGGTGGATGTCTACCACGTACAACCCGTCCTTGCGCAGGAAGCACAAAGGTCACAAAGTAACAATTACTTGACATACAAACATGCAAATAATCAAGATACAATGCAGAATTTCTACACAATATACATATTCATGTCTTAGAATTAAAACAGTGAGGTCGCCCTTGCTAAGGCACGGTCTCATACATAAATAAATTCGTCGCTTCAGTTTCTTGACTTGCCTTTAGCGTTTTAGTGCTCAGGTTTTCAACTCAAGCAGCTGGTGGAGAGTCTATCAACTGGAGTAATTTCTACGCTGAGCTTTCATGTCAAAGCATGGCCGAAGATCTATGTCTTTCGTGCACTCAGCCTCTGTTGTTGACAGTGTCTGGCCAAAGGGGTAACCCCTCCCTCAGTAGGATTAGCTAGTTGAGGTTGTTCATGTAGAAAAGTGTAATTTTTAAACGCTGATTGCACACTATGTTTGCACTAGTAGTAAGTAGGCAGTCTGCATGAAGTAGTTTGTGCACATTTGCTATTGGCTGACTTTGAGCAATTTCTCCCCATTAACAGCCACTGACCGATTTTTTCTCTTTCTTTGCGGCGAGACCTGAGGTTTTTGGTATAAATAGATTGCACTTTATGCAGGGAATGCACGACGACGAAGTTGCACATGCTTACAATAATAGACACAGGTGAGGAAAAGGCTTCACCCAAAAGACCCACTCTGCACGCGAAACCTTTCACCTATTTCAGCAACTGATGAAAATCTTTCTTTTTGTGTGTACACAATCTCTTGCCGCGAACTTTGTAGAATTGCTGTTGAACTTTGAGTCACCTTGCAACAATAATATGTGTCTTATGCATGGCATGGATAAAGCATGTTTATTTCCAATTGTTTACTGCACGTCTTTTAGCCCAGCTTCCATTATGAGTGAGGAACGTTTTGCTATTAAATTAATAAAACAGCAAAAGAGAGCACATTTTAAGACAATCCTGGAAACGGATGTGAATTTTTCAGCATGTCATAATTTTTATCGGGATTTTCTTATTATGGCTTTCACTGTACTCAGCCTAAATTAAGCGATTCTGGCATTAGTTCATAATTTGGCAGAATTCTAAAAAAGTTACGTGCTGAAAAAAGGACCAAACACCATGGAAACTTGTCAGACATTTGCAGGACTACAGTCGCATGGTAAACGCAAGTTTCTTTCGACACATAGCATATACACTAATCAGATGAAATAACTGGGGCCATAGAAATCGTGAAAGTCTAGTGCACATGGTGTCCAGAATGTTATGAGCTCTGTGCTGGACTAAGAAAAGGCCGAAATGTCTCGGCAACGGGGGCTCCTTCGGTCGGACCTGACCTTCGCTGGCTCACGAACGACAAGGAAATGCACGCGTTACGGTCACATCGCTACCAACAAAATGAACTCTCTCGACCAATGTTCCTCTTTTCAACCGATGAGCGGGCGCCCCTGTTCCCTGTGGATAATGGTGATATTTAAAGCCGTGTCGGAAACGGGCTTTCAGGGCTACGGCTAGGTCTATTGTCTACGCATCTCCACGCATTTCCAATGGAGCGAAGACCTAGACCTAGCTCTAGACAAGAGATTCGGATGCAGCCTATTAAACCTTGCAACACTTTACAATAACAGAATGCCATAGCGCCATCTAGTGGGCTATAAAGACTACAATGAGGTGAATATGAGGTGATTATAATGAACTATAATAAATTAGGTTCATGAAATTTCTAATTTCATGAACGTAATTTCTTTCCCCCCCTTTCATGCTCCTCCTATGTTCCTTTAATGTATTTCACAATAATAACACACTGTATGGCACTGTTACTAGTACAATTCACAGGAAATGTTCCTTAAAATTAATGTGGTCTCCAGGCGAGGAGATCCACAGTTCTCGGTGTAGGTAAATTGCACTTTATACAGAGAATGCACGACGTTGCACATGCTTACAAGCATGGACACAGGTGAGGAAAAGGTATCCCCCCAAAAACCCATTCTGCACGCAAAACTTTTCACCTATTCAAGTTTGGAACTCATGCTGTCGTTGAACTTTGTAATGTGAAGATGGCTTCAGGCTCAATGTCATCTGACGTGTGTGGAGGGTATAAATAAACAGTGTGGTTGTGCGCTATCATAATACAGACTCGCACTGCTGAAGTCAAACATGGCTGGTCAAAATTCCGCCCATAGTTTCCTCTCCTTCGCCCAGAGCACGCTCAATCTCCAATCTGCAGCCATCTTCCTGTTGATCTTCCTCGTGGTCTTAAAGCTAGTCCGACGTCCGAAGAACCTTCCCCCGGGGCCCAGGCAATGGCCTGTCCTCGGAAACCTCCCGGCATTGGTTAGGTCAGGGAAACATCCTCACGAGGTGCTGGCGGAGTGGGCCCGGCGGTACGGCGGCGTCATGTCGGTTCACTTGGCCCCGGCACGGGGTCCATCCGTTGTTGTGAGCGACATTGGCATCGCCAAGGAGTTGCTGCAGTCGAAACAAAGGGAGCGCCATATTGACAGAGCCGCGAATCCATTGCTGAAAGAAGTCACAGACATACGAGGTAGGGACTGAATGGGAGGACAAGGCTTGGCCTAGTCTTGTTTCCAGGCAGTAGTGAGGTTTATTGGGCCCCATTTCAATCTGGGAGGCATGAAGGGGGTTAAAAGGTTTGTTTAGATCAGCCTCAATTTCGTGGAAGACCAAGAAAAAGAAGTAGCAATTCTAAACAAGGACGAAAGAGCGCACAGGTATTGATTCTGGGACTGCAGGTGTAGGCAGGCAGCCCACTGATACAAGTTCCTGCTTGTCGAGTGCAGTGCTCGTTAACAACACACCGACTCGGAATGAGGTCTATTGAAGAAGAAACTGTGCTCAGCAGGTCACTGAACAATGAGGCAAAAACTTGTAAACTGTTAGCACAAGTCGACGACCCAATTTACTGATTAATTTAGATGTGTTTGAAATTGACGAATCACAGGTACCTGATATTTGTTTCAAAACAGGGAGCTTTCTTTGGGGAGCAGGCGAGGCTGCCAAAGAACACAGGCGCTTCGGCCTCAGCGCCCTTCGAAAGTTGGGGGTCGGCAAGAAAAATCTGGAGCACAGAATCAACGAAGAGGCTCGATACCTAGTCGAACGTATCGAGGCTGAAAAGAATCGACCCTTTGATCTGAACCTCCCCATCCACAACGCTGTGTCAAACACTGTCTGCTCCATAAGTTTTGGGTTTCGCTTTGACTACGACGACCCGAAACTGAAGAAGTTACTGGAAAGTCTGGTGGTTATTTCCAAGATGGGAATTGAGATATGGGGAAATAAGTTTCCCTTTCTCTACCACACTCCTTTTTTTTCGAAAAAGAGGGAATGGGTCAACTTTCTCAGAGGTACTATTACCCAAATAATTCAGGTAAGCATGTTTTATTGAATGTGCAACTCTATGACTGTATTTCATGGGGGGGGGTTAATGACAGTTTCCCGTAACCTGTTAAGTTTTTATGATGCCTGGGTAAGACTGAATTTTAGAGCTTTTTACTGCTTTTGGAGGGAAAGAGAATTTAACTTGTAGTCCCTTAAATCTGCCATTCGATTTCCTTGCGTCTGACAAAATATCTCATCAAATTGATCCAGGATCACCAAAGCTCCTATGACGAGAACGACCTCCGGGACATCATCGACATGCACATCGCCGACATCAAAGAAAAAGAGCAGAAAGGATCTGGGGTGGGCTTGGGGCCCGGCCTGACCGATGTCCACGACGAGATCGGGCTGGGTATCCTGGACTTGTTTGCCGCTGGCACAGAAACGACTGCAAGTACCGTGCTCTGGCTGATATCCTTCGTGCTCAAGTACCCTGAAGTGCAAGACAAGGTAGCAAAAAGTACAAGTAATGTTAGAGCACCTATTAAACTTTTGATAAAATTGTTTTATACTTACGTTGTGGGAAATCATCGTTTATCGTGGCTTTTATATAGTAGTACTATAATTGAATTGTGGAGTTCGAACAATCCTAACTTTAAAATGTTTTAAACACTCCATCATAACATTTTGACAGAATAACGTAAATATAAACCTCCAAATTGGCAAAGGTTTGTAAGAATCAGTTTGCAATCAATTCTGAAGTTTTCAGTGATGAGTTTAGATCAAAATGTAATGACTTCATTCCATACTGTATTAATTTCACACCCTCAATTATTTTCAAAGAACATCCACTCAGAGAGATTAGAACTGGGGTTACAAGTTATAATGTGGGAAAGATAAGGGGCCAATGCTATCAGGCTAACAGCATCAACTAATCATATACTTACCTCGTTGTCTGATTAATAACTGTGGCATGCAGATCCAGCAAGAGATATATGAAGTGGTGGGAAGTGACCGTCAGCCATCTTGCGAAGACCGTCCCAGCATGCCCTATACCAACGCAGTCATCAATGAAGTACTACGCATGCGTCCGGCGGGGGCCTTTGCTTTGCCTTATGTGACGACACAAGAGTTTGAATTGAGAGGATACACTATTCCCAAGGGAATAGGTGAGATTATTACCTCGATCCCGTCGTTCCATGTATAACAACAATGGTTATGACTAAGTTTTTTGAGTTATAATCAGATACACAGAGTGGACTCCAAGCTACAAAATTCCATCCTCCAGGTAACATTGATATAATACCATTAACATTTACAAATTACCGATTTTTATGATTGAATTATAAACAGGTGTGACTATAAATCTGTGGGCGATAATGAACGACCCCAAGGTTTGGGATCGACCAGAGGAGTTCAACCCCGGACGTTTCCTGAGCAAAGACGGCAAGACAATGATCCAGCATGAAGCTTTCATACCATTTTCAACAGGTAGGCCTATGTTCGGAGAAGAAACTTATTCTTCAAATTATTTGAGTTCTCTCGAGAAAAACTGGCACAGTTTTTTTCCGCTACTGTAAATAAGGAATATGCATCAACATTGATATCTTATTATACATTGCGCCACATTGACCTACATTGAGTGAGGTCATTTTGGAGAAGAAGACGTATTTTGCTAGAGCGTTGTGGGTAACGTAGGCCCTACTGGACTAAATCAGGTGAACGCGTTCAGCTTACCACCTGGAAAACTACGAAAGCTCGTTAGTGCCACCGCCATTTTATGTTTTTACAGCAGCTATTTATATTTTTCAAAAGCAGCTATTTAATTTTCGTGAGCAGTTTTTTTTTAATTTTTCAGAGCAGCTGTGTGTGCAGCTATTTCGTAGAAAACGGATATTGAATTACGGTGGCTCATCACGGACGTGTATAATAAAATCTGGACTTGCAATGCCCTTAATCAGNGGGAGCCAACCCACGCCTTTGTATTCGGCTCGGTAAAATGGCCGCTGGTTGGCTTCTTTTTCATACAAAGGCGTTGCAAGTCCAGGTTTTTTTTATATACGTCCGTGTATGTGGCTCATACACTCTATGTAAGATGTGAAAATGTAGATGTCAAAGGTGAACGCTTGGTGGCACTTTCTAGCATTGATCGCTCCCGTGCCCATTCGACCAGACATCTTTCTCCTGATTTTCATTTACTCCTTTCGCTTTAACCAGGTCGTCGGAGTTGTCTGGGTGAAGGGCTGGCCAAGACGGAAGTGTTCCTCTTCGCTACTAACCTCTTCCAGCGGTACACATTTAAGCTACCGCTGGGAGCGGCTCCACCAGCATTGAAGGGGATTGGTCGTTTCACGTTTATTCCGGAGCCGTTTAGAGTATGTGCAGTTAAACGCTAGACCTGATGAAGGACGTTAAAATGGCGTTAGAAGTCAAAATTCTCGAAAACGACAGTAGTGGACCATAACGTTAGTCTTGAGTATTACCATATTTGGACTGCCTATTATCTCACAATTCTCGCGTAATTTGACCAATTACAACGCTTGCTCTAGCAGCCTGGAACGGAATGTATGGGTGTTAAGGGGTGGTTTTCTTAAAGGTTGCCACATAGGGAACAAAACCTAACGAAACGTTTCAATTACAAAATCAAGTTGATTGGCTGTTCAAAAACCTGACTTACATGCATAAACTAGAAGTTCTCAACATATTTGTACGGGTGGGATTTAAAATGTGTTTTTACCAACTTGAGATAGTTAAATTGAATTTCGACAAATATTGCTGCATCAGGGGGGAAATGTCACTGTGGCCATATGTAGTAATACTCTACACTGAAGACCCTACGATCTTGTAAAAGTGCTTGAAATTAGATGCAAGTCTTCTTGATTGCATTGTGTGATCCTCATTTTCATTTGTGTACATAACGGTGACGAATGATGGTTACTTTAAAGGAACAAGGAAATTGAAATAGTTTTATAAATTTTACTAAAACCCTTGAAATCTTTGGGTTTCAATTAACCTTTTTATTTCAATTTTAACCCGTATTTTCATGCTTTACTGGTTTTTATGCTTATACGTATTTGCATATTCTTTAGCAGAACTATGATGCCATCCAAGGCACTGAAGCTTAGTGTTGCACCGATTTGTGCACAGAAAATATCTAGATTTTTTTAACCACCGCCATGCAAGAGTTCATTTTCTTTTGCAATTTATTGCTGTGTGAGTATATGGCAACAATCCAGCAAAAATCCTTTTCACAGAAATGTCAATTTTTAATGTTTGAAAAAGTACACCGTTCAGTTCTCGTAACTCAAAAAAGATATCAGTCTTCATACATGGAAGAAGAGTAGAGAGATACACAAAAAGTGATTCTAAGAAAAACTCTTTTCCTGGATCCTAAATGACTCTGACAGTAACGTTTTTCTGTTAATGTTTTAGGTGTGTAAATGTACTCGTCAGAGATGTATTCAGAATTTCCCTCGATGCAAGAAGAGTTTCCTGATGAGTGATATGCGTGTAAACTTCTTCGCTTGAATTTAACACTAATGGACATCGTTTAGCTAAAAGACCAGTCATGTAATATTCAGCCTTAATTTTTTACTGTATGGCATTGTTACTGAAGACTTAAAAGTAAAAGTTTCTAAAAATTAAATATGAAATGAAGTGACTATTATTTTATCCATGATTACGTTACCCAAAAGATTCGTTTTCTTCCAGCTCTTTAGCCAAGTCTGATAATAAACTATCAAGTACATAAACCAATCCGTCGCTTCAGTTACTTGATTTGCCTATAATGTTATATCGCTCATTTAATCAGATAGTCAAATTATTTCATTTACTTATTGTTGTTTCCATGGTAACATAAATAGCGCCCTCAGGAAAAACAATTGAAACCTGCTGCGCCATGTTGAAGATAAGTGAAATCATGGATCCATGGTGAAATACAGCAGGGTAATAGTTACGAGTATTTTTGAATTGTTTTTATGGATTATGAGCCTGAGACATCAGAAATATTCCATTGTTGGCATAATAAATATCCAGGTAATCGCATGAAAATTATGTCAAGAATGTAGAATATGCAGCTTTATCATATTGTTAGTGTGCTGCTGGTTGATTAGTTTCAAGAAATTCTTCAACAGGGTTGAGCTAATGAAACCTAGGAAGGACGGATTCCAACTGGCATCAACACTAACAGAGATTAACCCTAACGGAGGTCAACCCTAACAGAGGTCAACCCTAACGGAGGTCAACCCTAACAGAGGTCGACCCTAACAGAGGGCAGCCCTAATGGAGACTAACCGTAATAGAGGCCAACCCTAACAGAGGTCAACCCTAACGGAGGTCAACCCTAACGGAGGGCAGCCCTAATGGAGACTAACCGCAATAGAGGCCAACCCTAACCGGGGGTGGGGGGAGGGCAGGGGAGGGTTCAAGCATTGATGGTCAAGAACAGCCGCGCACACTAAGCCATGGATATGCACAGGTGACTGAAAGCTCTTGAAGCACTGTCTGTGGTGATTTGTTCCACTCATGTTTTGGAAGTGCCTATTTTGGGCTCAGGTTTTCAACTCGGGCTGCTGGCGAGCCTGTCTGTCAAATGGAGCATTTTCCGTCTACGGTGAGCTTTCACGTCAAAGCATGGCCGAAATTCTATGTCTTTCGTGCACTTAACCTCTTTTGTTGGCAGTGCCTGGCCAAGGGGTTACCCTCCCATATCAGTAGGATCAGGTAGTTGAAGTTGCTCATGTGGAAAAGTGTTATTTTCACATGCTGATTGCACACTCTGTTTGCACTAGCAGTAAGTGCATATAGGCAGTCTGTGCATGGAGGTACACATCTGCTATTGGCTGACCTTGAGAATTGTCTCCCCATGAACAGCCATTGAACGAATTTTGGAAGTTTTCATTTTAGGAGATACAGTTGAAAAATGTTCCTATGTGCCCGTGAAAGTTTGAAGGTTGCCACTTGAAATGAGGCTGCTAGCAGACTTTGGAAAAATCACTTTTTGTGAGTTGATTTTGTTTTGTGGAAATGATTAAAAATAATAATTGGTTAACCCAAAAAAAATTGAAAAGAAATTGAAAGATTAAGGACCATAGAATGATTTAATTTGTGTTTCAGAAACCTCAGGGATGTTAGTATGCATGTTATTGGCCCCTGAACAATGCCGATTTTACAATGTGTTCCCTTGGGCTTGAAATAAAGGACTGCACCCGGATGAGCAGGTGCTTCTGCTCTTGGTGGATAACGGTGACATTTAATCTTACAACACAAACAATAAAAGAATGTCATAGCGCCATCTAGTGGACTAAAAAGACTACAATGAGAGCCCTCACCGTGGCAAGAAACGAAAGTATCATTTTCCAATTTCATGAACATAACTTCTTTCCTCCCCTTTCACGCTCCTCTTTCGTTCCTTTAATGTACTTGGCAATAATCAGACACTGGTTGGCACTGTTACTTGTAGAGTTAAAAGGAAATGTACCTCAAAATTCCTCTTGGCGAGGAGACCCATAGCCTTTGATCAAGGCGCCCGCGGTGAAATGGATAGTCGCTCAAGCTGCAGGGGACTAGTTTAAGCACCAAATCAACGCACGAAGAAAGACTACACGACGAACCGTACGTACGGTTCGTCGTGTAGTCTGTCTTTGAGTGCGTACCCGCGTGCGCACTCGGCACGCACAGTCCACGCGACACACTCAGCTCGGCTACTGTACATGTATGCCTGTGCATGCATGGTTAATTTCGGGCGTGCGTGCAGTTCGTCGTGTTGCGCAGGCGTGGACCTCTGGACCATACATAGCGTGGACGTCTGCACAAAAGAAGTCCACATAATGTAGGGTGCAATGGCGTTGTGTGGACTCGCACAAGTCCACACAATGTTTTCCCCTCTGCGAAAAGCAGTTTCAGATGCATTTTGGGGTCAAGGTTATTCGTGGCAAACTGAAGAGGAACAGTCCAGGAAGTCGTCATCCAAAATGCAGCTCGAAGGAGTTATCCTAGTTGGAGAAAAAAGAGCATGTTCCTCAAGTTACCTTAACCACACGAGAACAAAGGAATGTCCACATTTTGCATGTAAACAGGTATCTTTGTCTTTCTTTCTGCGTTGGTTGGTGCTTAAACTAGTCTCCTCCAGCTAGCTCCTCGCTTTTGAGAGACTATCCATTTCGCCGCGGACGCCTTGCTCTAAGGCTAGGAGACCCAGAGTTCTAGGTATAAATAAATTGCATGAGAGAACACACGACGAAGTTGCACATGCTTACAATAACAGACACAGGTGAGGAAAAGGCTTCCCCCAAGAGACCCACTCTGCACGCGAAACCTTTCACCTAATTCGGAATTGAACTCATGTCATAACAAATATGTGCGTACACGGTCTGTTGTTTGTTGAACTTTGTGATGTAAAGAGAAGCTTCAGGCTCAATATCATCTGACGTGTGTGGATGATATAAATAAGCGGTGTGGTTGTGCGCTATCATAATACAGACTTGCACTGCTGAAGTCAAACATGGCTGGTCAAAATTCTGCCCCGAGTTTCCTCTCCTTCGCTCAGAACGCACTCAATCTCCAATCTGCAGCCATCTTCCTGTTGATCTTCCTCGTGGTCTTGAAGCTATTCCGACGTCCGAAGAACCTTCCCCCGGGACCCCGGCAATGGCCTGTCCTCGGCAACTTCCCGGCAGTGGTTAGGTCAGGGAAACATCTCCACGAGGTGCTGGCGGAGTGGGCCAAGCGGTACGGCAGTGTCATGTCGGTTCACCTGAACCCAGCACATGGTTCATCCGTCGTTGTCAGCGACATTGGCATCGCCAAGGAGTTGCTGTCGAGACAAAGGGTGCAACACATTGACAGGGCCGCGATTCCACTGATGAAAGAAGTCATAGACATACGAGGTAGGGACTGGATGGGAGGACAAGGCTTGGCCTAGTCTTGCCACCAAGCAGTAGTGAGGTTTATTGGGCCCCATTTCAATCTGGGAAGAATAGAGGGGGTTAAAAGGGGAGAGTTTGTTTTGCTGAGTCTCAATTTCATGAAAAGACCAAGAAAACGTAGTTGCAATTCTAAATACGTGCGAAAGAGCGCACAAATATCGAACGTGAGACTGCACGTATAATATAGGCAGCCCACTGATACAAGTTCCTGCTTGTCGAGTGCAGTGCTCGTTAACAACACACCGACTCGGAATGAGGTCTATCGAAGAAGAAAATGTGCTCAGCAGGTATTGGGTCACTGAACAATGAGGCAAAAACTTGTAAACTGTTATCACAAGTCGACGACCCAATTCACTGATTAATTCAGATGTGTTTGAAATTGACGAATCACAGGTACCTGATATTTGTTTCAAAACAGGGAGCTTTCTTTGGGGAGCAGGCGAGCCTGCCAAGGAGCTTAGGCGTTTCGGCCTCAGCGCCTTTCGAAAGTTGGGGGTCGGCAAGAAAACTCTGGAGCACAGAATCAACGAAGAGGCTCGATACCTAGTCGAACGTATCGAGGCTGAAAAGAATCGACCCTTTGATCTGAACCTCCCCATCCACAACGCCGTGTCAAACACTGTCTGCTCCATAAGTTTTGGGTTCCGCTTTGACTACGACGACCCGAAACTGAAGAAGTTACTGGAAAGTCTGGAGATTATTTCCAAGATGGGAATTGAGATATTGGGAAACACTTTTCCCTTTCTCTACCACACTCCTTTTTTTGCAAAAAAGAGAGAATGGGTCAACTTTCTCAGAGATACTATTACCCAAATAGTTCGGGTAAGCACGTTTTATTCGACGTAAAACTCTATGACAGTATTTTTTATTTTATATATTTATTTATTTATTTTTTTGGGGGGGGGGAGGGGCAACAGTGACAGTGTCCTGTAGCCTGTTAAGCTTTTATGATGCCTAGGTAAAACTACATGTTAGAGCTTTTTACTGCTTTTGGAGGGAAAGGGAATCTAAATATTAGTCCCTTAAATCTGCCATTGGATTTCCTTGCGTCGGATGGTCAAATTTTCCTTACAGCCAATTAGAAACTGAATTTTAAAAACAAATTTCATGACAAAATATCTCATCAAATTGATCCAGGATCACCAAAGCTCCTTTGACGAGAACGACCTCCGGGACATCATTGACATGCGCATCGCCGACATCAAAGAAAAAGAGCAGCAAGGATCTGGGGTGGGCACGGGTCCCGCCCTGACCGAAGAGATCTGGCTTGGTATCCTGGACTTGTTTGGCGCTGGCACAGAAACGACTGCAAGTACCGTACTCTGGCTGATATCCTTCGTGCTCAAGTACCCTGAAGTGCAAGAAAAGGTACCAAAAAGTACAAGTAATGCTAGAGAACATATTCAACCTTTTGATAAAATTGTGTTGATACTTACGTTATGTTAAATCATCGTTTATCGTGGCTTTTATACAGTAGTACTACAATTGAATTGTGGAGTTCGAACAATCCTAACTTCAAAATGTTTTAAACACTCCATCATAACATTTTGACAGAATAACGTAAATATAAACCTCCAAATTGGCAAAGGTTTGTAAGAATCAGTTTGCAATCAATTCTGAAGTTTTCAGTGATGAGTTTAGATCAAAATGTAATGACTTCATTCCATACTGTATTAATTTCACACCCTCAATTATTTTCAAAGAACATCCACTCAGAGAGATTAGAACTGGGGTTACAAGTTATAATGTGGGAAAGATAAGGGGCCAATGCTATCAGGCTAACAGCATCAACTAATCATATACTTACCTCGTTGTCTGATTAATAACTGTGGCATGCAGATCCAGCAAGAGATATATGAAGTGGTGGGAAGTGACCGTCAGCCATCTTGCGAAGACCGTCCCAGCATGCCCTACACCAACGCGGTCATCAATGAAGTACTACGCATGCGTCCCCCAGGGGTCTTTACTTTACCTTATGTGACGACAGAAGAGTTTCAATTGAGCGGATACACTATTCCCAAGGGAATAGGTAAGATTATTACCTCGATCCCATCGTTCCATGTATAACAGCAATGGTTATGACTAAGTTTTTTGAGTTATAATCTGATACGTATAGTGGACTCCAAGCTACAAAATTCTATTCCCAGGTAACATTGATATAATACCATTAACAGTTACCAATGACCGATTTTTATAATTGAATTATAAACAGGTGTGATCATAAATCTGTGGGCGATGATGAACGACCCCAAGGTTTGGGATCGACCAGAAGACTTCAATCCTGGACGTTTCCTGAGCAAAGACGGCAAGACAATGATCCAGCACGAAACCTTCATACCATTCTCAACGGGTAGGCCTATGTTCGGAGAAGAAAGTTCTTCTTCAAATTCTTTGAGTTCAGGTTTTTCCGCTGCTGTAAATACGGAATATGCATCAACATTGATATCATATTATACAATGCGCCACCATGAGGTCATTTTGGACAAGACGTATAATTTCGCAAGAGCATTGTGGGTAACGTACTGGACTAAATCAGGTGAACGCGTTCAGGTTAAACATGGAGCTTAAAAATGCAAGTCTCTTTGTGTTATTGGAAAACTACGAAAGCCCGTTAGTGCCACTACCTTTTTAATTTCTACAGCAGCTGTTTATATAGTTAAAAAAAAATAGGTATATGTCACAGGTGAACGTTTGGTTTTGCTCTGTAGAATTAGTCGCTCCTCGTCGACCAGATTTCTTTCTCCTGATTTTCCTTTACTCTTTTCGCTTTAACCAGGTCGTCGGAGTTGTCTGGGTGAAGGGCTGGCCAAGACTGAAGTGTTCCTCTTCGCTACTAACCTCTTCCAGCGGTTCACATTTAAGCTAACGCCAGGGGCGCCTACACCACCATTGAAAGGGATCAGTCGTTTCACCTTTATTCCGGAGCCGTTTAGAGTATGTGCAGTTAAACGCTAGATCCGATAAAGGGCATTAAAAGGACCTTAGAGGTTGAAATTCTCTAAAATGACAGAAGTGGACCGTAAGATCAGTCTGGAATATTGCCATACTTGGACGGCCTATTACGTCACAATTCTGGTGCAATTTGACCAATCACAAGGAAGTCGTTCTAGCAGCGTGCAACGAATCGTATGGGTGTTTCCATGTTGCGGGATGCTTTTCTTAAAACGTTGCCACATATGGAAAAACAAATTTCAATTGGAAAATCTTGATTAGCTGTTCAAAAACCTGACTACATGAAGTGCTAAAACACGTTTGTACCGGTGGGATTTAAAACGTGTCGTTGCCAACTTGAGATATTTAAAATTGAATTTCGACAAATATTGCTGCATCAGGGGGGAAATGTCACTGTGGCCATATGTAGTAATACTCTACACGGAAGATCCTACGATCTTGTAAAAATGCTTGAAATTAAATGCAAGTCCTTTTTACTGCATTGTGTACTCCTTATTTTCATTTGTATACTTAAGGGTGACGAATGATGGTTACTCATATGACTCTAAGAGTAACGTTTTTCTGTGAATGTTTTCGGTGTGTAAATGTACTAATCAGAGATGTATTCAGAATTTCCCTCTATACAAGAAGAGTTTCCTGATGAGTGATATGCGTATAAATTTCTTCGCTTGAATTTAACACTAAGGGCGTCGTTTAGCCAAACGTCCAGTCATATAATGCGCAACCTTAATTTATTTACTGTATGGCATTGTTACTGAAGACTTAAAGGTAAAGGTTTCTTAACATTAAAAATAAAATGAAGCGACTTTTGCTTTATCCATGATTACCAAAAGACTCGTTTTCTTCCAGCTCTTTAGCCAAGTCTGTTAATAAACTATCAAGTATATAAATCAATCCGTCGCTCCATTTTCTTGATTTTCCTTTAGTGTTATATCGCTCATTTAATCGGATAGTCAAATTATTTCATTTATTTATTGTTTCCATTGTAACATAAATAGCGCCCTCAGGAAAAAAGATTGTATCCCGCTGCGCCATGTTGGATATAAGTGAAATACAGCAGGGTAATCGTTACGAGTATTTTCAAATTGTTTATATGGATTATGAGCCTGAGACATCAGAAATATTCCATTGTTGGCATAATAAATATCCAGGTAATCGCATGAGAACTATGTCAAGTATGTAGAACATACAGCTTCAATTAACCCTAACAGAGATTAACCCTAACAGAGGTCAACCCTAACGGAGGTCAACCCTAATGGAGACTAACCGTAATAGAGGCCAACCCTAACCGGGGGTGGGGGGAGGGCGGGGTAGGGTTCAAGCATTGATGGTCAAGAACAGCCGCGCACACTAAGCCATGGATATGCAAAGGTGACTGAAAGCTCTCGAAGCACTGTCCGTGGTGATTTGTTCCACTCATGTTTTGGAAGTGCCTATTTTGGGTTCAGGTTTTCAACTCGGGCTGCTGGCGAGCCTGTATGTCAACTGGAGTATTTTCCGTCTAGCTGTGAGTTTTCAAAGCATGGCCGAAATTCATTGTTTTACTGAGTCGTGTTTCAGAAACCTCGGTGAAGTCAGTATGCATGTTATTGGCCCCTGAACAATGCCGATTTTACAATGTTTTCGCTTGGGCTTTAAATAGTGGACTACACCCCGGTGAGCGGGTGCGTCTGCTCTAGGTAGATAGCGGTGACATTTAATCTTGAAACACAAACAATTAAAGAATGTCATAGCGCCATCTAGTGGGCTAAAAAGACTATAACGAAGGCCCTCACTGTGGCAAGAAACGAAAGTATATAACATTTTCCAATTTCATGAACATAACTTCTTTCCTCCCCTATCACGCTCCTCTTTCGTTCCTTTAATGTATTTGGCAATAATCAGTCACTAGTTGGCACTGTTACTTGTAGAACTAAAAGGTACTGTTTCTCTGCATAAGAATGCCTTACGTCTTTTTTAGGCAGTATTTTTGCTAATTACTTGATATTTTTTTTTACAGCCAACTGTAATCACCTCCCATCATATCCTAACTCTGTTCACGCTGAAGAGCCTGGTTCACCGTAAACAGAGTACCAGTATACCCCAGCCGGGGTCTGGCCAAGTCACTTTGCAATGTGTAGAATTCCAAATGGTAGTCATAAAGGATTGTTTACGCAAGCGCTGTCTTGCTTGCCCGGCCCAGCTTGTGACCCCTAAACGACCCCGTAAAGGCCGTCGGGCCTCTTTATCTTAGAAGCTTTGCGGCTTATAAAAGAAGGCACGCGGTGCCTGGCCCTGGGTAATTCTAGATATACTTTGGCGCAGAGTGGGTTATAAGTCTACGGCTATTTCATGTGGCTTGTTGAGGAAAGAGAGAACAGCAGAGCTTGGTTTAAGCTTACTACCTTTTCCTGTGGTTTCTTTGTGGCGAGACCGTAATGCAGGGATGCACGACGACGAAGTTGCACGTGCTTAAAAGAACGAACACAGGTGAGGAAAAGGCTTCACCCAAAAGACCCACTCTGCACGCGAAACCTTTCACCTATTTCGGCAACTGATTAAATATTTCTTTTTGCGTTTTCCCAACAGAACTTGAACTTTTGAGTCAGCTTGCAACAATAATAGATTTCTTATGCATGATATGGATAAACCATGTTCATTTCCGCTTGTTTACTGCATGTCTTTCAGCTTAACTTCCATTATATGTGAGGGACGTTTTGCTGTTAATTGAGTTCAACAGCAGAAGTGAGCACATTTTAAGACAATCCTGGAAAAGGATGTGAATTTTTCAGTATGTCATGGGAATTTCTTATTACAACTTTCACTGTACTCAGCCTGAATTAAGCGATTCTGGAATTAGTTCATAATTTGGCAGAATTCTAAAAAAGTTACGTGCAGAAAAACAGGACCAAACACCATGGAAACTAGTCATCAGTTTAGTGGGCTGCAGTTTTATGTTAAACGCAAGTTATTATTTTGACACATAGGCCTAGCATATACACTAATCGGATGAAATAACCGGGGCCATCAAAATCGTGAAAGTCTAGTGCACATACATGTACTTCGAGTACACATCAGTGTCTGCCCATATTAATTCCAGAAGACACCCGGGCGCGATCGAAGAATGTTACGAGCCCGAACCAAGACTTGAAAAGGCGAGATTTTCTTGGTAACGGGGGCTCCTTCGGTCGGAAGAAAATGCACGCGTTAAGATCACGCGTTAAGATCGCTACCAACAAAATGAACTCTCCCGACCAATGTTGCTCTTTTCAACCGATGAGCGGGTGCCCTGATCTCGGTGGATAATGGTGACTTTTAACCTAGCTACACTTAACAATAAAAGAATGTCATAGCGCCATCTAGTGGGCTATAAAGACTATAATGAGGGCCCTTGCTGTGGCTAGAAACGAAAGTAACATTTTCCAGTTTCTTGAACATAATTTCTCTTATGTTCCTTTAATGTATTTGACTCGGACAACAATCAGACACTATATGGCCCTGTTACTTGTAGAATCCAAAGGACAGTTCTGACAAAGTTAAGTTCTCAGTATAGGTAAATTGCACTTGCAATGCACGACCAAGACGTTGCGCATGCTTACAATAACAGACACAGGTGAGGAAAAGGCTTCCCCCAAGAGACCCACTCTGCACGCAAAACCTTTCACCTAATTCGGAATTGAACTCATGTCATAAGAAATGTGAAATATACACGGTCTGTTGTCGTTGAACTTTGTGATGTAAAGAGAAGCTTCAAGCTCAATGTCTTCTGACGTGTGTGGAGGGTATAAATAAGCGGTGTGGTTGTGCGCTATCATAATACAGACTTGCACTACTGAAGTCAAACATGGCTGGTCAAAATTCTGCCCCGAGTTTCCTCTCCTTCGCCCAGACTGCTCTAAATCTGCAATCTGCAGCCATCTTCCTGTTGATCTTCGTCGTGGTCTTGAAGCTAGTCCGACGTCCGAGGAACCTTCCCCCGGGGCCCAGGCAATGGCCTGTCCTCGGAAACTACCTGGCATTGGTTAGATCAGGGAAACTTCAACACGAGGTGCTGGCGGAGTGGGCCCGGCGGTACGGCGGCGTCATGTCGGTTCACCTGACCCCGGCACGGGGTCCATCCGTCGTTGTGAGCGACATTGGCATCGCCAAGGAGTTGCTGCAGTCGAAACAAAGGGAGCGCCACATTGACAGGGCTGCGATTCCATTGATGAAAGAAGTCACAGACATACGAGGTAGGGACTGGATGGGAGGACAAGGCTTGGCCTAGTCTTGTTTCCAGGCAGTAGTGAGGTTTATTGGGCCCCATTTCAATCTGGGAGGCACGAAGGGGGTTAAAAGAGAAAAGGGAAAAGTTTGTTTTCCTGAGCCTAAATTTCATGAGAAAACCAAGGAAAAAGTTGTTGGAAATTTAAACACGGACGAAAGAGTGCAAAGGTATCGAACTCACTACTGTACGTATAGGGAAGCAGCCCACTTCGATGACGTCATGATCCTTGCCTGACTTCCCCCACATGCACATTGCCCCCCCCCAACGTACGTGGGAAAAAAATGTAGTGAGGAAATTCACAAAAGCGTTTCTCAGAAACAAAATCAGCAACTGAAATGAAATTTCAGGGCAGATAAGACTGATATCCCAGGTCACTATCTGCAACAAATAAATGAAAACGGTTGATTGGTTTTTGAGTTGTGACCTTAACTTTCGAGCGATCTCTCCAGCTTCCCATCGGTGCTTGGGCGGAAAGTGCTTGGTCGGCCGTGGACGGCTTTGTGTCCACTTCGCTCGATAACAATCGGAAGGCAGATTTAGCCTATGTATGGCTGTATTCGTATATGTGTACATTGATGTTTGTGTACATAAAAGGTGTTTATCACATCTACATGTTTTTATTGTTATTAGTGTATGTACAGTACATGTATGCATATTTTCATAGAAAAGCCGGCTGTTCATGTATTTCACGGTTAGTTTCTCTCTCATTTGATGCCCTGAAGGAATACCTTTGGGTGAAAGGAATTCACTGTTTTTGTTTTTCCATATTTTTAGTTGAACTACAAATAGAACTAATTACTTTTGTATAAAAAAATGTAAAATACACAACTGTTGGGTGCAGGCATCACCAGTCTGACCATGGTCATTGTCCAATATAATACAAATAAGGATCGCAGTGCCACATTAATAATTATCTCATCAATCACTGAATTTAATTTCATTTGTAAAAACGTAATATACTAATACCATAAATTAGTAGGCCAACATGTGCATTGTAAAGCCTGTTATCATAACATGTACAGTATCTCAAACATGCATCACCAAAATGGAACCTGATATTATTTAGAAGTTGTAAAAAAAGAATGCAACTATATATATGTACATGTACACGTATAATTAATTTATTCAGCAATAATTTTGATCAGAAATTGTTCACAACATCACGGTTCAGTACTATGATGCCAGTCAGTCTGAATGAGTCAAAAAAAGATTCGTAAATCCTTCAATAGCCTGATTTTGTACCATTTCGTGTTAATTAATTATGCAAATTGGAAGTTTAATTAACAGTAAACTACTGATTTTTTTCCTACCAGTGGAGGAATGCATAGCCTACTTGGCAAGTCTGCCAAATATGGATGAAAATAAATAAACCATCATGGAGATATTATAGAAACTGTGACGGATGTGTTATTTTCCTTGGTGCCGTGGTCATTATTAACAAAATCAAAGGATAACCTTTGACCTCTGTGCAGAAAATGAAGCCATTTTGTCTACCTTTACAATTCATGTATCTTCGGAACCCCTAGGCCGATTTCCAATATTTTTTACAGATTCTGAATCCTGAATTCATGCCCTTTCAAACTGGCTAAAATGTATTGCCTGAAATTATGAACAACAAATCATGAAAAAACAAATAACAGACACAGTT